GGGGGGGGGGGGGGGGAGCCTACATTTCATTTGTTGTTTTAGTGGCTCCCTCTGCTGGATATTTCCAAATATTGCAAGGTATTAGATGAATTGAACAAATATGTACATCCTGTGTTTGATCTCCAAATATTTCACACAGTGATTAGTTGGAAGCTCTCTGTATCTATTTGGGAAACTGAGAAGCAAATGGCATAGTAGGAAGATTAATTCTAGTATCGTGGTCCTGTGCAGATCCTGTCTCTTTTACCAAATGTTTGTTTTGTTGCCAACAGCAAAATAAAGAGACAGGATCTCTTTATTTTGCTGTTGGCAACAAATACTGTTGCTGATTTCTCTGTTTTAAACTTCTTAAAACAGCCTCTATATGCAGAAGCACTTTATTCTAATACTGAGCCAAATCTGACTTCTCCTTTCCCTAGAGTTTTCTCTTGAAAAAAGAAAAAAAAGGTTTTTGTTTTTACTTCCTTGTTGTCAAAGTGCTTTAGAATTGATTTCAAATTTCTTGGGTGGCATTTTCAATTAACTTTATGGCTACTGGTTGGTGGAAGATGCTGGAATTCTCTCTTTTCTGTTTGTTACTCTCCTTCACCCTATCCATGTGAAGTTCCTATTGATCTCTTCCCACTCTGGTATTAACTTAGGCGTGGGAAATGGGGAAGGCTGCAGGTTGTACAGTAAGAGATGGAACTCACGTGTACACCCTGTAACCCAGGGGGAAAAAAAGTTCATGCTTTATCCAAATCAGTAAATCATTGTCTGTTTGCTTCGTGGCCTTGTTGTGGTGGTGGGAATCTCAGGTAAGCCTCTTCTCGATTAAAACTGGAAACAGCAGAAGCACTGCTAGAGAAGAAAAAATCTGGATTAGTCAAGGGAACGACTCCTTTCCAGTCTCCCACACTGCAGCGCAGGGGATTCATCACTAGGGCTGTGAAAATCATTTCGAAGAGGGCTTGACAGTTTTCGAATGGTTAAAGCAGCCACATTGTTTTCTGGGCTTTACGGTTGCTCCGGAAGCTCCTTCTGGCTGACTTTGCACACACGTTTGTGCACCTTCACTTCTCTCTGTCGGGGGAAAGCAAAAAGCCCTGACGTTTTCTTTCAAAAGTTTCCTTCCAGCCTGCTCACTTTGTGCTTTGTTGATAACCAAGGTGGTGGGAATCCAAGTTTAGAAGGGAAGGCTGGATTCAAAACAAAATCTCACCGGGACTGACATAAAAAGCTAAAAACAAATTCTGTGATTGCTCAACCTGGCTTACACAAGGTGCTAAGACGGAGGCTGAGTTCTCACAACAAATTAAACCATGAACTATCCAACCCCATTTTATCCTAGCATTTTGTGTGAACCTCAGATGCAGTGTGCAAGTTTGATCCCCCCTGTAATATCCTTCCATTTTGCCTGTGAGCACGGCTGTGCTGAATTACAGCCAATTCACATTTTCAGTATGTGGACTCATTGTTGGTTAAGGACTAAAAACTCTGAAAGCTGGTTCAGACATGCATGAATGCATATGTGTACATAGCCACCACAATTTGTCCTGCATTGTCAAATTATGGGTGAGAACTGCTGATCTAGAAAGTTAATCAGGGTTGGACCTGACTAGGGCTGAGAAGCAGAACTAGTTTGGTATAGTGGTTAAGGCACTTGTCTAGAAACCAGCAGACCGTGAGTTCTAGACCTGCTTTAGGCACAAAGCCAGCTGGGTGACTGTGGGCTAGTCCTTCTTTCTCAGCCCTAGGAAGAAGGAAATGGCAAACCACTTCCGAAATCTTGCCAAGAAAACAGCAAGGACTGGTCCAGTCAGTTGCCAGGAGTCAACAATGACTTGAAGGCACCCCCCCCCAAAAAAAAGGCTTAGAAAGGAGACCATTAGGAAATGCCAGAACTATTGGATAGTCTGGGAAGTTAAAAAAAATACTGAAGAAACTAATGGCAAGCCACTTTTGTATCATGCTAAGAAAATTGCACGAATGTGTCCATGTCAGTCCCTGTGAGTCGACTTTAATCGAAAGAGACTTTTTGCAAGAAAACACCATAAAGAGAAATGCTACAGAAAGACTGAAAACATTTTGAGAATAAGGTAGAAAATATATAGTGGGGTAGACATTGACAGCAGATGAAGAAAGCACCAGGTTGAAAACATTTTCTGCAAGGAGGCAATATTATGTTGCATTCCAGAAACCATCATGTCCATGAGATCGCCAGGTGTTGAGATGGATTAAAAAAAAAAAAAACTTTTGTGCCAGGCAGAATGAAATTCACCACTACAGTTCTGCAATACTTTCCTGTTGTTGTTTTTCATTGAACTAATCTCCATGCAGATAGAAAATGCTAGTGATATTCCCCCTTTTTTTAATTTGCAGG